ATCTTTAAATTTGAGTACTTATAGTTTCATGCTCTTAAAACACTTCTCATGTGTTCACATTATCGAATGAGCTTGTGGCACCACCGATTAGCACGGTTCAGAAAAAAAGGCATTCTTTGTCCAAAAAAATTTTACCATTCTTTTTTGTAATACTACCTGAATCAAAAAACCTCTGTTGAAAACAACTGATTTCATCAAAAAACTTACAATATTAGACAGTTTTTGAAATATTAAATTCTATTTAATAGTCCTGTTCCTTCCCACTTAAATGGTATTTTATCAATATACACAAAGAAAATGGTTAATATTATTAAAATTAGTAAGATTAAATACCCTTTTTATTAGTTTTAACAACATTCATTTTATTCTTTCAGTGAGTATCAATAGAATTCCTTTTTTATTAATGCTCATCTTCTTTAAGATGTTATACTTTATGTGGCATTAGCAAAAATTTAATTTAAAATGTTGAATTACAAATACGCTTGATGTTTTTCTTGAACCTAGCTCGGTGTGTGTATTGTCCCTAAATTTGCTTTTATCTACGGCCAATGGAATGCTGGATAAAAACTATTATATCATCCAAGTCCATTAGTAAATAACTATTACAAATTGTTTGTTGTTCATTTCATACACATGCTCATTTTAATGAATATTACATTGTATTTTTTCCTCGAAATTGTTCAATTATGTGAAAAAGTTTATAAGAAATATGATATTCTTTGTATAAATCATAATTGATTTCAGTCTTTATCTGTATAACTTCTTTTTTCAAATATTACAAATAATAAATATTAACTTCAAACATTGATATTTTAAAAATTATCATTTGATTTAAATAATGATTGAAATCATACTAGCCTTCATTTTTGGTGACATTTTTTAGCCAAAAATAGAATTGTAATTTTGATACAATATTAATCATTGGTTCAGTGACTTTTTTAGGTGTCTTTGAAAACCAATGAAAATGAAACAATGTATAAATTACAGTTTTATTCGATTAAGTTTAATTGAAGTCGATTCACCTTAGAGTTAGTAATAACATACCAGTAAATATGCTTAGTGTTCTAGGATTAAAGAGAGAATTTGTTTAAATAGTAGTTTTTTTAGGTGAGATAAACTACTCATACAACCTATTCCATCTTTGAATGATTGTGTTTTCAGAATTGACAGTTTTCATTTCAAACATGTATAATCCGCAAACCTGCACAAGGCAGAAGAAAATGTTGGGCCTAAACAACTCCGGCTTACAGAACTGTACTTAATAATGTAGGAGTATTTACATATTTATCTTACAGATCTGGGAATGTCAATAGAGCGTTCACTTAAGATTCTAAATATATATATATATATATATATATATATATATATATATATATATATATATATTAAAAACATAATTTAAATTCATGGAATATCCTTTCGATGCGTGGAATGCTGAAATGTAAGCGACGTTTATGTCGAATGCAAGCCCATTTCGCGTATTCACTCTTCGGGTGATTCACTCTCGCCTTCGTCATAGAGGAAATACTCACAGTCGCGCATCCAAGTGGGAGGGTGGGATGGTGCTTCAGCACCCCTAGAGCCAATGGTATGCATTCAAATGACACAGCTAAGTCGAATGTAAGCCCATTTCGAAAACCAACTTTCTTCCGGTAAAACGCTCTCGCTTTAAGTCATAACGGAAATATCCACAGTGGCGTCTCCTAGGAAGACGGTGGCTCATGGTGCTTCAGACTCCTAGAGCTAATGGTACGCATTCAAATAAGACAGTTATGTCGAATGTAAGCCCATTTATATTGGTTACTTTCTTGAGCTGAAACGCACTTACTTTACTTATAAAGGAAATATCCACAGTGGCGTTCTCGCGGACTGTGGCTCAGACCTCCTAGAGCGAATGGCACGCGTTTAAAAGACACAGCTCAATCGAATATAAGCCTGTAACTTTAAACACTTTAGAGACAATACGCATTCCAACGACAGCTTTTGGGGGAGTCGGGCAGATTTTGTGCTAACTGTAAAACTTCTCACAGATGGAGAAAGACTTCACCAGTAGCTGTGAAACACTCTCCTCCTCAGATCCAAATAGCAAACTAGTCCGTCGGGTTAACATTGTAATAATACCAATGACCGACAGCTGCATCTTTTACCCCAGGAGCAAACGAAAATACATCCCTACTAAATTTAGTTGTAAACATGCGAGGCCCACGCAAAATTTAGTATGTCCACAGCGTTGTTACATGCAAGAAAGAACATGTCCATGTAATCAATAAGTTGCCTAGTTTGACGATCATGTTACCAAATTTGCCGCACCGGGACGCAGCAACGAGTTGATTGCGCCCCAAGAAAATACGGGCACCACTCAAGAGAGGTCGCTGAGGTTGGGGTCGGTGCAAGCGCCACGCTTCAGTCGGCGTGAGCGGGCGCGCCATCGTCCTTACGGCCGGGCCAGTCGGCGAGCCTTTAGCCCGGGCTGTGCATAAAACTGCGCCCAGCGGTACGAGAGGGCAGTTCAAGACATCCCGGCAACAGCGCACCGCCAAAGCACCCGGAAACCCCTCTGAAACACCGTTTCCTACCAGCAACTCCTTCTCATCTCTCCCTATCGAGGAATATCCCGCCCAATCAACCTCTTCTTCTGAACCTCCAGCTCCTGAGCCTACCCCAACCCCAAACAACCCG